TATGTAACAAACTGAAGGGCAAAATTTGCCTTCTGAGATATGCACAACTCTCTTTGGAAAGCCAAGTGAAAATAAATTAAAATGCATTTTAAAAAGAACGTCCCGCTTTGTGTAACAAACAAGGAATTCCTCATTCTGTTTAGCTTAGTATTCTGTACTGCTATGGGTTGCTTCCTTTTCTTTCCCACCCGATTTAATCCAGATAATTACATTTTGAGGAGAACTGTGATCTAAGCGATATATCTAGGTATCTTATATCTAAGTGATATAAGCAGTGACTGCATTTAAGCTTTTTGGTTTGGGGTTTTGTTGGGTTTTTTTCCTGCCTGCACCTGCCCTCTCCATCCTGATCAAATCTGAAACAAACCAATTTAGCAAAATTTTGGCTATTTTCCTTTCTCTGAAATTACATCATTTAACTGTCTTGTCAATAAATATCATAAACATGAGTAGACTGGGTTTGAAAGAATGCAAAAGGTGGGAGAAGAGAGAAAGAAGGAAAAGAAAAACCTAGAAAGAGTAACCCAAGTGGGTGATACAGGACTCCTGCCAGGGCTGCTTCGCAGAAGCCAGAGTTCTTAAATACCTCTCCCAAATTATCCCAGAGAATTCAGGACAAACCCGCCTGAAACATGAGCTCCTGGTATCAACTGCATCCAACATCTAGTGAAACTATTCTTTAGAAAAGAAGTATGATGTTTGCTATGTGTTACATTGTCCATTTTACTTAGAAGCACTGTAAGGTCTAAGGTGAAATTTAGTTAATTTATGAAGACTGTTCCAGCAAACCAAAAGCACTTTGCAATTTAGGAACAGCCAAACTGTTATAAAATAGTTATTGTAAAAAGATGAGTATAAATAGTCCCTGTAGTGATTTCCTTATGCGATATGTCAAAAGAAATATGAGCTTAAGAAGTAATATACCTTCTCCCATTCCTCAAAACATCATTTCTAATCCCTTAATTTCCTAAATTAAATCCACGGTGAATTAAATGGGTTATACATGTCTATTGGGAGGATTATACATTGTAATCACAAGTATAGGTCTTAAAATAAAGCTATTTCTAATCCCTCCAAAAGATGCTTAATAACTATTAGACTCCTGAGGGACTGATTAAGGAAATGGATTAGATTTAGAAGTGGCCACAGTAAGTAAATTATGTAATCCAAACATGTTTTGGAAAACAGAAGCATTTTCCAATTAAAAAAGACCTTAAAAATGAGTCAATGCCAGAAAACCTTTACCTTTCAGTTGGGCTTCCTCCTTAAAAATAAATAAATAGACAGAGAAATAAATAGACAAATGAATACTTAAATAAGAGACTTCTGAGCTTTTTCAGCGAAGTAGCCCATGCACCATAGCAACCCTAGACAGTTTCATAATGAAGAAATACTAAGATTTGACATGTGATGGTAACAACAAATACAGGTGAATTTGCTAGTGCTAACTTGGATCAAGCACAACTCTACTTGGACAGCTCTAAGAGGAGAAAACAGCTCTGGATACTCTCTCCTCTCTCTGCTCTGGAATCCCGTTTTATTTATGTGAGTAATGCACACTGATACCACATTTAAAATGAAGATTTGTAAGTCTCAACAAGACAGGGACACATCTGCCTCTTCTAGGAATAAACCAACTAAAGGGCATTAATCTAAATTCGGAAGAAAATATTAAGTATAATCTTTCATTTTTCTCTTTCTGAACTATGGTATGGAATTCACATTGTGGCAGATAATAAGACAAAACAGGACAAATGGGAATACCTTTGGAGTCAGTGGCAATGCTCTTCTTGACATCCATGAAATGAAGACTTGGCCTAAGGCCTTGGAATCTGATTGTGAGATACAATTGCAATAAGAATGGCTGAACAGTGGAAGAGCACTAAAATATGTTAAATCTGCTGCTGCATGGGGAAGAATGGAAGACAGAAAATGATAGCTGGATTTCAGTGACACGCTGAAGCAGCTATTTTAACAACATGAATAGAGGGATGGAAAAGGAAGGAGATTCAGCTGTCCAGATAAGGATCTCATTTAGACAAAAAATTATATTTTTAGCTACCCTACTGCCTTTCGAAAGAACAGTTTGCGTCTGCAGCACTACTCCAGAACTACTTGCTTATGGCAACAGGGCAGTGTTGGTAATGGAGTAGCAAATGAGTTCAGCATTTTGCTGCAGATAAACTCTGTTGAGTTTCAAATGAAAAGGGAGACTGGGAGGAGAGATGATTTCTTTAACTTTAACCAATCTGATGTTTTATGTGAAACCTGGGGTTCTGGTAACTAGCTGAATCTTTAACACTCATTCCCATAGCACAGTTTTCAGCTTTGTCTAATGAGAAAACTTAATTTTATCTGTCCTTTATATACAGAGTCACGATTACATAAAGGTTCATCGTGAAGCACACATCCCTTCCTTCCTCTCCATTCCTGCACACTCCCGTGGTCTCCCCTGTGAAAGCATTAATAAACATATAGGTCACAGGACATGTTCCTGGCCAGGTGTGTAGTGAGCCAGACACATAAAGAGCAGTACAGCTTAAGGCAAAGGCAGAACTGCACCCTAAGACACTAAGTATTGAGCGATTAACGTTACGTTCAGTTTTGAATTTTGTTGCAGTTCTTGTGACTGACAATTTGACAAACTGATGGGAACGACAATGACTCCATCCTTACAGCGCATATTGGAAAGGACCCTATGGAATCTCAAAGAAATCTGAAACTCAAAATATAATCAAGCAAACTGAAACAGCAAAAGTCACAATGGCATGAGAGGGACAGAAGAGCACTGCAGTGCCACACAGTCTGTGCCACCCACGCTGCATACAAAACAGCGTGACTGAATCAAAGGGTTTTTCTGTTTGGTTTTTCAGGCATACCCTGCAAGTATGTGGAGAAACAGCCACCTGAACAGGGGTTGGACAGCACCTAAGCTCCCTTATAGAACAACTCTACAGAAACCTAATCAGGATGAGGCTATTAAAGTAGTAATGATCATCAGATTAAAGTACTGAGCTAAGGATCAAAAGACAAGAGATTAATTTCTGCCTTTATCATAAAATCCCCACGTGAAAATATGTGGGTCAAGTGGACTTTTCATGTTGTCTGGACCTTGGAACAGGCATAGATTTTCAAACTATCTCCACTCCCACAAGAAGCAATGAGCAGTAACCTCTCTAGCCTCTGGAAAAAACCAACTTCAACCTGCAAGCATTGAGAACATTTGAAGAGTTCTCCCCTTAAGTCTTTCTAGCTGTTAGCTAGACCAGACAGTTTTCTTTCAGGTGCAACTATGGCAAACCAGGAACCATGCACCTTGCATATTATACGTCTGTTGTATGGCATCTTTATTCTATGTGTTCTTTGCTTTTGATGAACTACTATTTGCCTTCCATGAACCAAGTTTAAGAATTCAGCAGTTCTAAATTGGTATCAACAGCTGAAGAGTCTCACTGGTCATTTCTTCCCCCGTTTGCCTGTCTGTTTTACAAGTGCAGAATATTGTCTTGAATAAGTAAGTAAACATCTTATGCCATTATTTCTAATAGTGTTTTCCAGACTCACATCTTGTTTTGAGGATAATCTGATGACACGTCCATTTTCAAGTTTTCCTTCACAGCCTGTGAAAACTGCAAACCTAAGCAGTTCACCTTTTAGTTTCTTACATTGCATCTTAACACACGTTTGGTGGGTTTTGTTGTATAGTTAAATGCCAAATAATCTAATTTGGCAGTTAGATTCTGTTCTTTACAATTCAGGAACAGCTATAAAGCAAGTTCCAGTTTTCTGAAATTGGATCAGCTCCAGCTCTTTTAAAATATTTCTGTAAGCACTGATTGCATGTGAAACCAAGGAACTAACAGAGGACTTACAAATTAAAGCTAGTGGATGATATTCAGATGTAGTTAATATCAGGTAATCAAAACAAAATATACCTGTTCCTCAGTTTGGCACTTACAAACAGTTTTTACACCCTGAAATTTTATACAGTATTAAAGCACTCGTCTTAATGACAATGTTATCCTAGAAGCAGCCATTCAAATAAGCCAAATGCTTCTTCGTAGTTTTAGGAAATACCATGAGTAAAACATTTATTCATCAGCAAACACCACATGTGCTCTTTAGATTAATTATTGGCCAAATAGAAGTGAAGGAGTCTCAAAGCTGTGTCTGATGTTTGACTTTTAATGAAGAGCATAAGTAAGTGAAAAAAAATCGTCTACGTGACTTACTAAAGACATTGTAATGAAAGGTATAAGAAAGCTACTTCAAATGAAGGAAATAGATTAAGCAATCTTATTTAGATGGCACAGCTTCTCAGAACTGCTTTTGGCCCAACATAGCATAACACACCATGGAAGGCTCTACAAAACGAGATACACTAAAGTTATCTTTGAAGGTAAATGCAGAACACAAATTCTGTATTTAATAGGGATATGCTTGATGAAGATGAGGGAAAACTGAACTGGGATCCCAGAGTCTTACGGTATATGACTGTTCAATGCACCTCACTCAGCTCTCTAAAGTTGAGCACATGAACTGTGCAATATGACAGCAAGCTACAAGCATTTACACAGGTTGTGTACATGAGAGCATGACCCTGGCCTCTAGCACAGAGCAGAAAAAGTGTTGCTAAATATCCTGCTCAATCTGCTGCTATGCTTTTGCACACAGAGACAGTAAGTTGTTTTGCAATTCACATGTGCCAAGAGCCCACAGGAAAAATTTCTGGTCTGCTGGGCCATGCTCTCCACCGTGGGCTTCAGCGGGCTGTGGAATGGGACTGAGCCTGCCTGTTCGCTCCCGACGCAGGCGTTGTGGGTCACCACGTCTCTCCACAAGGCCAGAGCTCGCTCAGTCTCATTTGTTTCAAAAGAAATGTAACAACAACACTTGACAACAATGACAGCCGAAGTCTTTCTGAAGGAAAATGACTCACGAAGGAAGCATGTATAACCCTCTGTTCTTTAGGGACTGGGAATTGAAAGACTTTTGCTCACCTCCCTCATTATCCTTGTTATCGGCACAGGCGGTTTCCATGGCAACGTTGCATCCAGGCCCCCTCCAGCCGGTCTGGCAGACACACTGCCAGCTGTTCTGACCCAGCGTGCATCTCCCATTGCCATTGCACAAATCAGGGCAGCCATCTGGTTGAAGAAATGGAGAAGGTAAGTACAAGACACACTCATTCCCACTGCCACTCAGACTTCTGACATTACTGTGCAGACAAAAAGGCTCACTCCTGCTGGTGGGACAAATGCTCCTCTGGCCCAGAGCCACAGCCCTGGGGTGGAGAAGGAGGGTAAAGAAAAGGGATACCTCAGAGAAACAGGGATTTAACTCTAGCCAGAAGACAGGAGGAGTCCTACCATCAGCCATAATGCATGTTTTAAGAACCCTGTAAAGGTTCAGATCTTGAGTTGACAGAAATTACAGTCTGCTGACAGAAGATCACAGCCTCTTAGTTTTCCCACTGTATGCGTGTATACACATACATGAGTGAGAAAGTCTTCTTCAACAAACATGCCAGTGTTCAGAGTGCCTTTTGTACTGTGCATTGCATAATTCTCCAGAGCTTCTCTAACACAAAGTTTAAATAAACAGTTTTGGAAATATTTTCCTTCTTTAACAGTTATTTTAAAAGACCTACTTATTTGACACTAAGTTTACTTCTATTAGGCTGTAACATTTCATGCTTTCTGAAAGACACGTTAGAAGAGATATCCCACAAAAGATGTATGTGTTGAATTGACTATGGATATGACATGACTTACTGTATAGCAAGAGCTGAATTAGGAACAAAAATATTAATTAGCTAAGGTGCTTATATGTTCTAACGGAATGTCCATAGGTAATAGAATACCTCGACTGCTTTTTCCTGAAACTAAATGAGTCTCAGGAGGCACTGCTGTATCTTACCTTTCTCATAATGAATATTCATTAAGAAACCCAAATGCCAGCCTTGGTATATACAATCAAACCCATCCAACCCACACAAACATGTGCGTTTGCCTGCGGAGGTGATAGAAGATTTGAGAGTCCTGCAGCAGACCTCTCGTAGCACCTTTTCATTAGTCTGAGCAGGAGGAGAAGGCTGTGTTGCCATACTGACAACAGATGTTGGATCCCAATCATTCACAAGCTCTCTCGTTTGGGTTGGAAATACAGTCTAATCCTGCCATCTCTACAACCACCAGAGAACATGGAATAATTCATCTCATTGCTGTTGGTCTTGGGCGGAAAATTTAACCTTAAAACAGCTCACAAAGCCTCATGCTCTCTCATTTTCCCCTCCACTAGTAGTGATGGGTCACTGCTGGCATCGAGATCTGCAGGGACCTGCTGCAGCCCTCTCCGGTCTCACCAACTGGCTGGGTTAGTCCTTTGCATTTGCCACTGTGCCCCCAAGCTGTGACTATTAATTAAGTACTCCACTCCCTTCCCCAGGCATTTTAAGAGCACCAAGGAACTAATGGGCACCCTACCAGAGTGTGGATACTCTCTTTACCAGCTGTGAGTGAGGAAGGCAGCAGTATGAAACATCCTGAAAGCAAAGAAATACGTTTTCTTTGTCTGAGCATCACCACTTCAGATGCGCAGAAACAGAGCAAGCCCATGATGACAGTATGTCCTCTTTGTGCCCCTTGGCCTCTGCAGGTGACCGGGAAGAGGAACAACTGTCAAACCAGCACAGCTTTCATACTAGTGCTGAAAGGCTGAACACCCTTCCAGAAATCACTGATTTAGACTGCCTGTGTGTTTCTATAAACCTGTTCAGAAACCCACAGCTCTGCGCTTGTGTCTCCTCCTACTCCTCCCGGCTGCCTTTTCTGTAGCCAGGTGATGTTAGAGAGAAGCTCCTCTGACCCCATACTGGTTTTCACACTGCTGCAGGGATTTCCCACGCAGGAAAGCGAGCTGCCTTGTATCCCCGGTACTCACACAACTGGTATCAGAATACATAAGCATTCACTTTTACTTTTCCTCATTGGGTAGTCAACATTCATAGTGATTAATTAAATTTTAATAGGACTAAGTAGTCCACAGCCACATTAATTTTTGATTAATTCTTAAAGTTTCCTTTACTATTTTTTTAAAAAAATGAATGCTGGGCCTGTGGAAGGTGCTGGACTGAGATCTCTGAGACCTCAGCTGTCCCAAAGAAAAGGTTCTTTACAGATAACAGCAAGCAAAGTTTCTGTGCATTGCCCTACCGAGGTGCCTGAACCTGCAACATTTCTTGCACTGGCACAGCAGCTTGACCTCCACCAAAGCTCCATGGAGTAAGACACCAGATCTCTGCGAACAGGACCAAGACCATTCAGTTCATGTTACACAGAAAGCTATCAGCAGATAGAAACAAGCCCTAGAAGTTCCATTTCAATGCTGTTGTGTATTAAAAAAATACAGCACCCCTTTCACTTACATGTAACCTTATTTTGGCATTAAATTTCTTAGCTATAAGAAATTGCACTTGCTTTTGCAGCACAGGCAATATATTTTCAAGGCATCTATTTTATGTCTTTCATTTGTCAGGTTGTTTGAATGACCAAAATGATGAAATTTGAGGGGAGGCATCATACTGTAGGACAAATTATTTGTTTTAAATGAAAAACAAATAGTAATTGGGAATATATACACATGGTTGGCTTTATATTGAGGCACTGAAGAGAATTAAATCACTGAAGCAGTTTGCTTTGCAGCATATGAGCAAGATGAAAACATGAACAGTAGGGAGCTAGCAAAATCTCTGAAAAGTTTTACCTGCAGCTGGGGATTAATGGACATGACTTTGCGTTTAGCTTAAAGAGAGAAGCAAGCATCACTGGTACAGACATGATGTTGCTAGGAAACACTATGCTACCTCTATAGAGTTTATTTAGCTGTGGCCTTCCAAAGACAGACTTTGTGTTTCAATAACATAAATATCAGGAGGAAGGGAAAAAAACAGCAGTAGACTACAATAAGATCCAAGTACTTTGACAATAATATCTTCCTTAAAAGATCTCTTAAATTAATGATGTATTAACTTTCAAAACAGCTTTAAGTAATGGAAAACTATTTAGATATTTTGCATGGTTACGTGTGATCCCATACATGTGTTATGTTTATGCCTGTCTTTCTTCAAGCAAATATTTACATAGCATTATAGTTAGACCAAAATTTGTTTTAAGGGCTGTTGACAAACTGGACAACAGAGCTCCATTATGAGCTATCAATAACAAGTTTTCTTCTAAAAAAATTTTATATGTAGGCAGTGCACTGAATGTCTCTATTTAAATCTTCCTACACGTGCATGTGTGCAATGATTAGTACCAATGAACATCCTCCGGACACGCAGTATTTGCACATGGCTAATGGGCCTGGATGCACTTCAGCAGGTTTTGACTGTGGACAAGGTCACACGGTGCCTAACAGAGGAGCCTTCAAGGTCTCAGCAAATGCTCCTTGCTCACAGCTGGACATACGAACTTTGCTGGAAACGCACACTGTACGAAGCACATCCTCATACCAAGTGCACTGTTAAAGCTTGCTTTCATTCTGCAGCCCTAGCGCACACCGAGCAGGGCTTTACCTCCTAGGTTGCCTTACAAATTCACTCACAGAGTAAGGCAGTCAAAGAGAGTGTAGGGTAGTCACAGAGGGAAGGGCTATCAACATCTAACCTTAAGAATTAATCCGCCATGGTATGAAGCACTCTGTCACAGCATAGAAAAGGGCCCTTCATGCTTAGGTTGCTATTCCTGGTGTGCAGAGAAATTCTACTCATCTTTTCTATTACAGTATGCTTAATGGAAAATGTCAAAAAGCTAGGTTAAAAAAGAAGAAAGTGCTTGTTTAAAGTGCTAGATTGACAACCTATTTATTCACAGAACAGGCAGAGTACGGGCAACAGCAGTTCAAGTGCATCACACTTTTCTAGCAATGTCTCTGCACAGGCTGCTGCTGCTGGGGGTACAACACTAATGCAGCCTCCCTTCTCTTGCAGTCTCCGACTTGCCTGTGGGACTGGTAACTGGGAGCTTTAGTACAGATATGTATGCATTTACAATTAAAACAGCAAGAAAGATTTCAGTACTTTTTGCAATGTAGGATCAGGAATCTGTGAGCAGCTTTGTGAGGGACCACCAGAGTAAGAGGAGGTATCAAAATACTAAAATTCATTCCTCTCTATACCACAGGCAGACAAAATGCCCAACATTCAGGTAAAGTGAATGCTGGAAGGCAGTGGTAAAGGAAAAAGAGAAAATAAAGGCATTTTATCTCTGGATCTAACAGAGAATGATGTACTGGTGTTTTGTACATGAAAGATCCCAAAACACTTCTTAGCATTCTCACTGAACAGAACAATCTCTATAATCTTGCAGTTCTGGAACACTAGGGCTAGTGTTTAATACCTGAATTTATTTCCTCTCTTACCTTTTCCAACTACCCAACTAAATTGGAGTAACAGAACAAATTAATTAATTAATGGATTTCATGGCGTTTCTTGCTTCTCTTTGTTCAAACAGGCTGGTTACATTCTAACTTGCTCATAGTTTAAAAATCCCATTTCTTGGTATTTTAATATCATACCACATCTACAGCAGGAAGTCGCATGAGAACGCTGACTCTCATGGATCACAACAAGGGCTTGAAGACAACTCTGAAACTCTATAGTTTGAAAAGCAAAGATTCAGCAAATTTCTCTGTTTCAGTGCACGGGGACATTTGCCGCCTATACACCTACATTGTTTCTCAGTACTTGAAAGCCCTTCACTTGCATTTCCTCAGCTATTGCATTCCAATGCACATTCAACGACAGTACATTACAATGAAAGGAACTTTGCTGATAATAGTACAAATGACTACTCAGTAACAACAGGAGAGGGCCGTGGCTTAAGGAAAAGAAGTGTGGTATCTGTTCCATAAAGTTCAGGCCCTTCTTCTAGGAATGAACTAGATTTCTGTCTCTGGACTGTGCCTGTTACTAAGAGGAAGAGGATCTACCATGGATACTAAGTAAATAATGTAGTATCAGAAGAACAGGACATATTTAACAAAACACTACGAGGAATGAGTACATGTCAATATGAAGAGGAGTATATAGTCAACTACTACGATATATATACACAATTATTACATTGATCTTATTTCACATGATTAA